AAGAAAAGAGACTCATCAAAATTACTTGACCAGCTAAGCCAACAAACATCCTTCAACAGTGAAAGCATCCATGGCAAATGCCTTTGTATATGTAACTCGCGCTTGTGTGAGCTTTGAATGTTGGGCGGCAGGGCTGCGAAAGGTTTCTTAATAATTTTCGCAGCTTCCGTGTAATAATTTTCGGAAAGAAATGACAACGTTATTTTGAAAGAGTACCCGCAATTTGACCTCTCCAATGACATACGGAATTCATCATGACTGATTCTAAATGTAAACTTCCCTATGACAAAGGTTTCATGAGTGGCAAACTTCGAGTCGTAAAATGTACTGTTTTGTCTGATATTCTTCAAGGTGTGATGCATTCAAATGAAACAACCAGTGCAGAACTTACTGATTTATAATTATTTTCCATATCCAAAACCTCTTCAATAATTAGAATAAAAACAAATAAAAGTGCTACTCTGTACGAAAAGGAAAATTAATAAATCCAAACCGCAATATGTTACCTAACTGACCATCATCTGGAAACTCAAACTGGCTGCGCTAGCTATGTTTGAATTATAGAAACTCAGTCTCTTCTCGGCAGACCTGAATAGAATTAGTTCTTTCTTTTGTATTAAAGGCTTTTGGAAGGGAATTTTGAATTGATTATAAGAATAAATTAAACGATCTGATGATTACCCAAGATAGTCCGTTCTAGCATGCATTGTAGGCGTCTTATTAGGGAGAGTTTACATTACGAAGCTCGCGATCTTTACCTAAAGCGCTTCACGTGATCTACAGGCGATGTAAATATATCTTCATTGATACATACGCACCGTTTGCCGTTTCAGGTTAACTATTTTCCAGAATTTGAGTTGGGTCGCATGGGCTCTACTAATTTTCTTAACGTGCATCGAACAGTAGGAGCGTATTATAGGTAGCCTTGAGGCGAAAAGCTGCAGAATTCCTCATTGAAGCTAGGAACATAAGGCATAGAACGTATTAGAAAGACATACCTGCGAACGGTTATTCTCTGCTCGACGTCAGTACAAAGGATGTGTTTTCTCTGAGTAGTTTGGCTTTACTCGACTAACTTTGCTCAGATTTACTGTCCATCGGCTGCGCTTCAATATAGATGAAGATATAAATTGAGTCGTCTGCTCTTCGAGAAACTTTCTCTTTTTTTCTTTTAGGCATTACAAACAACAAGCCGTTGACAGTCGATTGAGTTTCAATGGTGTTTTCATTTTGCAAGGAAACTCAGCATGCTATTTGTCATCAAAATTCTGGGAATGGCTAAAACAGCTAAGCCAACAAACACCCTTCAACAGTGAAAGCACAATCAACAGTATTGTTCTCGATGGTATATGAACTCTGCAGCGCTGCTCGTTGAGGTGCTACGGAGACATGCCTGCGAATGCCTGTGTACATGAAATTCGCGCTTCGGCAGGGCTGCCGGAGGTTCTTTAATAATTTTCGCAGCTTCCGTGTAATAATTGTCGGAAAACAAATGACAAAGGCATCTTGAAAGAATACCCGAAATTTGACCTCGCCAGTGACATAACGAATTCATCATGACAGATTCTAAATGTAACCTTTCCTGTGACATAAGTTTCATGAGTGACAGACTTCGAGTCGTAAAATATACTGTTTTGTCCGATATTCTTCAAGGTGTGAAGTATTCAAATGTAAAAAAACCAGTGTAGAACTTACTGGATTATTATTTTCCATATCTAAAACCTCTTAAATAATTAGAATAAGACAAATGAAAGTATTACCCAGTGTAAAAAGGAAATTCATAATCTCAAACCGCAATATGTTACCTAACTGTGTCAGTCATCTGGAAACTCAAACCAGCTGTGCTTGCTATGTTGGAATATAAAAACTCAGGTTCTTCTCTACGGACCTGAATGGAATTACTTCTTTCTTTCAGTATTTTAAAAGTTTTTGAAAGGGAATTTTGAATTAATGATAGGTATGAATAAAAGGATCTGAGGATTACCCAAGATAGCCCGTTAACATCACGAGGCTTGCGATCATTCATTGATGTAGCGTTTTAGCTGACCGTCACTCACCCCCCTCGGTACAAATTTCTTTCTCTCCCCAGCCTTCCGCCGCTGTAAAAAGATAATAATACTAAGCACTCAACCGCCAAAATTACGCCTGCTCTGCGAGCTAAGCGCGTTCAGTTCTCGCTATAGTATAAAATAAACATTTTATCTGATTAATATATCAGCTTATTCGATTTTCCCAAAATTGATTTTGAACATAGGCGAGAAAGAGCTCAATTGTACACCCTCAGAATCTACTGAACTCTGCCAAAAAAATTGTTGAAGTTATTTCAATTTATCATTTAGAGTTGCTGTGTCGTTGTTTACCGGTTTCCTGAGAGAAAAATAAGACGATTTGTTTTATCGTGATCAGTTCAGTAGTAAAGGACATCGGATTCGAATGAGATAAGATTCTAGGAAAAATATGGTCGCTGAGATATTAAGAATTCTCTTAATAATGGAAAGAGAAACTTTCGAACTGAACAGCATCTATGCAAAGGTTTGTTTCTTACGACATGCATGGACCAGAACGGGAAAATCCCTGGATCGCCAAATGTCATAAAGCTTTCACTCCCGTGATTGACCAAGGATACATTTCTCCTTACGATATCAATAGAGTTTCAAGTAGAGAGATTATGAGAATTAGGGATATCATCAACTCGGGGTATTGTTTTAATCAACATTAGATAGTTAGAGCTAATACCATAAAAAAACTGTATAGCTGAGAGTGTGGAGAATTGGCATTTACATCCTGAAAGTAGGAAGGTTTTGAGAGATTATGACAGCGTTGCGTGATACGAAAACGTTTCCTTCTTTTCTTTAAGGTCTTCTGCGAAAACTCTGACATTTTAACTTATTACTTTAAAATTTTAAGAAACAAAATTGGACTTTACCGGTATCTAAGTTTTACCTTCTCAGTATGTTGGATGCCTATTTTCTGGTTACTCGACCAATGATTATTTAAATTAAGAACAGGCTGACTTTACCACGAAAAATATTAACCCATTCAAAAATTACAGAGCATACTGTGAAACTTATCAGTCGCCGGGAAGCTAGCAACATGTAAGTTATTACCATTCAATATTCCCCGATGTTTACTGAAACCGGAAGGCTGTTAGCATGCACCAGAATAATAAACCACAGATGGAACGAATCTAATTTATGTGCTAATTTTAAATATTTACTGGTGGTTCCTTGTAATATTTTGACGTTTTAAAGTGATTAGCAAAAAAGGCTGTGCAATGGCTTTTACTGTTCATAAGGTAAGTCGATTTTGCTTAACTTTTTGCTTCAAAATTTAGCATTAATCTCAAGCTCAACATACTGATATTCATTAAATTTTCATTTGAAAAAGCTTTTTTATGCCAAAATGATTGTGTTTCTATTGTGCAAACTGTTCAAAGAAATTAATGAGATCCTGCGTTAGTCGAACAACTTCTTTACATAACTGACGGGAGATAAATGTTGTTATCATAAATTCAATCCCTCCTCCACCGCTATCGAAATATGGTGAGTAGAGAATATGTAGGAAAACAATATTTGAAAGACGCTTCTTCCGCTAATGTAAAAAAAACTTTTGAAGTAAATTCTTGCAAAACGTATTCTTTTAAGATTTGTCGCAAAATTATGTTGCTGGGATATCTTTCAAGAATTGAAGTGGCTTTAAGATTTTCGAGACGAAACATATGGTCGAATACGCTTTCGAAATGCTTCAAAGTAGCTGAAATTATTATTTTTTTTTTTGGCAGTAAAAGACGATAGAAAAATACATTAATTTCTCTTGTAATGCAATGATAAGCTAGTCTTGTTTCCAAGATACGCCCAATTTTGATAAAAATTTGCTTCAAGTGCAGGTTAAATTAGAAACACTCCGCTTGATAAATTAAATGCTAAACAGCTTTCGACCAGCTACACGGAGTATTTATGGAACTCAAAGCTATTTTAAAACTATTACAGATGTGCATTTTAACTTTTATTCTATTAAATAATTTACCAGTGGCTCTTTACTTAGTGCATTTCATTTCGGTTATAAAACAGTTGTATAATATGACATCCACTCTTTATTTTCATGGTTTACCTTAATATTGTTTACTTGGAAAAACCAAATGTTGAAAACTTTCGTTTATTTTACAAATATTTTAGGGAGTTAATTCAAGGTAAGTTTTGATAACATGCTTCGTATATCTATAGCCTGCATTTCGGACGTGCTGCGTGAATATTTAATACATGTACCTGCTCAACAAAGCATAGATTACACGCGAACGTATAAAAGACCTGAGCTGATCTTTGCGAAACCACGGCAGCTGAAAAATTTATATAGGGCGAATAATTTTTGTTAATTTACACTCCCGGCGCTTGAAATTAAAGAAAAAAAACTTCAAAATTTCGAGTAGGGTAGATTTAATTATGCATGATTCACACTCATCCTGAGTAAAAGAAAACAACTTGAAAAAGCCGACAAAACATAGCGACATGTGTTGATTTCACCAGTTTCGCATCGAATAAATTTCAAATAATCTTTCTACGTCTGTAGGGAGTTAACAGAATTTTTTTTTCAATGCCTTTCATATCAAATAAAGAAATTAATCCCATTACTTCTTGCCTTTTTTCCTTGAGCACCATGCTAAAAAAAACCAATCATTTTCATTACATTATTATTCAGATGAGTTTCAAATTAGGGAGCAGGGTAATTTCAATTTTCAGGGGCTGTAAGTGGAATTTAGGACTGATTTCGGAAAGAAGACCGCAGTTTTAACATCATATCACCAATAATACTAAGCTGTTTAACGGATATTGATCCCTCAGTCCATTCGTGCGATGCCGGATGTAAAATTTCCTGGCTTTTCATTGGTCATGTGATTTGAGCTTGAATTCTGATTGGTTTATCGTTATCCGGTTCAATAGATATTCTTAAAGAAATGTCTTGGTCATAAAAATTCTACAGTTTTCATGCTCGTTTTTCTTGTCCGCCACTCGGTAGATTCTTTGTATAGAATTAACACTGAGCATATGGCTACATTTTCAATTACGAAGGAAGTTTTCAAGCTTTCTGCCGTTTCGCGCTGAGAAGGTTCTGGATTCAAGAAGATCATAAAAGTTTCCCACAGTGTAAAGGCACTGCCTCTCAGAGGTCGTGTTACTGGGACAAAATCGATGATGCTTTTTTATTCGTTCTTAGTAACAAGTTTTTAAAACTCACCACAACAACTGCCATGATGTGTCTGAACGGAGGACAGCCATACTATTAATAATTAATCGCTGGAAGATTATCGCCTCAGAAGCTTTGAACTATTTCGTGTATGACTGAGGTCAAGGAAAATATGGTCGAGAATCAGGTATTGAAAGTATTGGAAATTTTACATCGCTTTAAACATCTGAGAGGTTAAGATGTTTAATTGTTCTCAATTTAAGTATGAATTTTTGCGTTACTGGGACTACAGGAAATATCTCCTGTCTCGCATAAGTTTGTGATTTATGTAAGTGCTTTATTCAAATGAAACAACGGCTGGATAGATGAAAATTTGTATAAACATTGAGCAAAAAGGTAGGAAAGGTTTATAATGTCGTTTCATGCTTTGTGGTCTACACTTTTCGGATCCGCCGAGCTGTTGTGCAGAAGTGTATGTTAAGTTGTATAATGAGTTTGTCAGCTGATGGTCTCACATCATATGACTTTCAAAGCTGTGTTATCTTTGTCACTGAAATCTTTTTCATTTTGGAATATTTACACTGTTTTAGATTCGTAAATTGCTTCGCAAGTAAGCAGCTCGGTGTTCTGATCAAAATATTACAATTTGAGGGGTTTTCAAGTTATCAATGTCTTTGACTCTGGGAGGTCTACACCGACATGATGAAAAATTAATGCTCTAATTGACTAAAGCCACAGAGGCTTAACAAAACAGAGCCTATGCCATGAAGCAGCCGGAGTTTGGCAGGGAACACGAGCGACTATACAAATATCAGGGAATTAGCAAATCTTGTTAGAGAGAAACTGTGACCTTTTCCGCTTTAATGAAAAAGAAATGGTAAGTGGAATTGTGGGTATTTAGCCTTGTGTGACATCATTGAGGCATTGTAGGAATAGAATTTGGCTGTGGCACATCTAGTTTGGACTTAGCCCATTGATTCCAGGTTGAATAAAAATTTTAGGCGTTGGTTTTTGAGGAGGGAGAAATAACATAGAATTTCGAGAAAAAATCCTCGAATCAGTGACGAGAACTAACTGTCATATCGAGTGTATGTTATGTTGAATCGTACCCCGGAAGGCAGACGTTCAGTCATTTGCAAGATGATTTCGTGATGTAGCTGAAAACGGAGATATTAGGTCATTGCAAATAATTAGTTACAAAAGAAACAAAACGCATCTCTTCGAATTACTTTCAAAATTAGCTAATCTGTTGTCATACGAACGCTTAAACGATTTAACAACCAAGAAACATGCAGGTGTTTTGGAACTTTAAATTAAATTTGTTTTTTTCAGTTTATTAAGATACCTCAACTTCGCCACGATAATAGAATGGTTTCCAATGAGAAAATATAAGACAATAAATTCTTGATGCATGTGAATTCAACCGTTATTTCAAAAATATTTACTATTTCGTTATGTAAATTTGTTCCTTTTCTCAAATTACACGACACTGGTTGTTTGACATAAATAAATGATATTTTGAAAGTAATATGTGTCATGCAATTAAAACAATTTTGAAAAAAAGCAAAGTGAATAATGATAACGAACCTATCTGTTTATCGTCAGGGATCTAAAACTTGAAGGCATCACTTTAAAGGACTGTGAATATGTGAACATCATATGTTTGAAGTGCGATTGATTAATACATGAAGAGGAGAGTGACCATCACAATAATAAACTCTACTTAAGCAGTAATAAAAACAAAGCCCGAAAAGAATTTCAGGGTTGTTTGAAGATGAGAGTAATTATTGCAGTAATTAACACTACTTAAGCAGTGGTGAAAATAAAGCCCCCAAAAAAATTCAGGCTCTTTTTAAGATGAGAGTGATAATTGCAGTAATGAACACTACTTAAGCAGCGGTGAAAATAAAGCCTGAAAAAAGGTGAGGCTTGTTTAAGGATGAGAGTGATAAACCCTTTAACTCCCAAGATCTTATTGTCAACTCTCGCCTCTAGCTGCTACATATTTCCTTGTAAATTAGTTAAGAGAATTCGGTGTTAGATGAGGATAACAAAAATCTACCTGATAAGTCTGAGTATTCTCATTACCTGTTTGCTGGATAATGTAGGAACATTATAGGGAGAAGTTCCATGTTATTCTCTTCTGGGAGTTAAAGCGTTAAGCAGTGATGAAAATAAAGCCAAGGTAACTGTGACAAACCAACTAACATATCTGATCCATGTACTGTTACACATTTATCTTTAATGTGCGTTTTAAGCTGACCAAGTTCTTATTTTCTTTCATTTCACTTAAGGCTTCCAGTAAATTAACCGAAGAGCAAATAGAAGGTAAGCAAATTCAAATTTTTTAAAAAATTTTTACATTTTCCTCATGAGTAGGCCCTGTTAGAGTTTGCATGGGGAAACAGTTTACTTCAGAAAATTAATCAGAGCGCAGTAGGAGATATCAAAACCCCCCACTGTTCTTCTTAAATATGAATTTGAATAACAGAAAAAATTATTTTCACCCAGACTTTAGAAAAGCGTTCCTACTCTTTGACAAAGATGGCAACGGAAGAATAACAGCAGACGAACTGAGTGAAGTAATGAGCTCTTTGGGTCAAAGTCCCACGAAGAAAGAGGTTGAAGCAATGATTCAAAAAGCTGACCAAGACGGTGAGTATGTTCAAAAAGGATCCTTAATGAGTAAATAACTTCATCAACTAAAATCAACTAAAATCGACGGGTTTGGAAATAGTGTGCGTACTGTTTATCGATCTCTATGAGAAAGATTGCTTACGAAACGTTAACTTCGTAGCTGCATATTCTATTAGTAATGACTAAGACGGGGTGGATATCAACAAATAAATGAACAAGAGTTTTCCCCCATCTACTGAGGTCCAAACCCCTGTCCATTCCTTCACTGCTATTGACCAAAATGTTGTTCCTTTCATCTACTCTGCTCGCATTTTTTTTTACCCCTTTTCCATGCCTAAAGTAAAACTACGACAAAGAAAATGTATTTTTTAATTTAAGAAACTTCACTACGGCAAATTAATCTCAGTTTGATCCAGTGAAAGACTCTTTGAACGCCTCACTTACGTTCTTAGCCCGACACCTTCTTTACTCCGCTGTAAAACCTTTGATGTAGAATTTTACGTTTCTTTCAGGTGATGGTTCCATTGACTTCCTAGAGTTTCTAGAAGTAATGGCCAACAAGATGGGTGAGCACACATTTGAAGACGATCTCAGGGACGCATTTCAACTTTTCGACACAGATTGCAACGGCTACATTTCCAAACGAGAATTAACTTTCGTCCTGACGAGCCTAGGGGAACAGATCACTGATGCTGCTGTGGAAAATATGATCAAGGAAGTCGACCTGGATGGAGACGGCAGGGTAAACTACGAAGGTAATACTTTAGGGTACCGATGCATTACACTGGATAAAAAAAAGATTAGATAAGGGTGATGTCATTGGTGTCCTGACCTTACGGGAGGCCTTTGAAATTCAGTAACATAATCAAATTTAATTAAAATAGACACAGACAATGCCAGAGGTATCAATAAATCTAAAGTTCGTTATAGCAATTTTTCAGAACTACTTGGAAATTATTCTTGCAAGAAATCTCCAATGTTTCCATTGCATAACTCTCTACAACAAAGATGCTAACATATGTTTTCTACATTGTTGCAGAATTCCTACGAATTATGAAGAAATGAATCAAACATCTCGAGAACAATCTGCCAGCCATTGCAACCTATCTAAGAGTCAGTTTAATTTAGCCTCATTTTAGACCTTCACCTATTCTAAGTATGTAAGGGAGGTCTAATATTTAGGCGATGACGTTTTTTTTTTCCCTTCAAGTTGTACAACCATAGCGTTGGCAAAAGGAAACTGTGCGTATGAATGATATAATCAAATTGGTAGCGAATGAACGGGTCAATCCCGTCTTTGACATTTTTCTCTGAGCAGAGATGTGTATCACTTATAATGAGTTAATTATTTTGTTTCACTTCAAATACCTCCTAAGTCGTAGTAACTTCACTTCACCTGAGAATGTAAATAAGCCGAGCCTTCAAATTTATGTATTAAAGCTTCTTTTTTAGTGTCTCATCAAATAATGCGGAGAGAGGAGAGCCGTGATCAACCTGGTAACTTACAACTGAGTCAAGATTTGATCGCGTTTTGTTTTGTTTTGTTTCATGTTCAGTTAAAGTAACAGAGCTGAATTTTGATCACAAATAAGTGCAGAAAGTTAAACTTTAACTTGTCAGTAGTAACCAATAACGAAATGATCTTCATAGGTTAACAGTGATCAAAGGAACTGCAGAGTACGAAGCTCATGTTTCGACGGGGTTTGCAAATATTACCCCCACCCTAAATAGCAGTTGTGTGCTACTAACTGAGTCACGAAGTCAGAAGATGGGAATAAGGGAAATTTTAGAGAGCTGTTTGTTCCCACGGGTATTTTTCGTTATCAGCTGGTTGCGAAACGGGGCTTCCCCCCTCCCCCAACCAATATCCCTCCGTTTTTAAACCCTCTATCATAAACCGGACCAAAACGAAATAACATTACCCCAGGGATTAAACGGGATTTTTTGAGGAAAGAGGAGCACGTGATGGTAACTGAAAGTTGTTCATAATGATCGAATACTTCATGGAGTGAAAAATATCATTTCCTCACTATCAATTATGTTTAATCTTGGTAGTAAATAACGAACACTATCCGAGAACTGGGACAAACTTAAAGAAGGTTGCTCGTGGACTTTCTGTGTGCTCTTACATGACAAGTCTTGAATTAAGTAGAACCCAGTCCTATGCGCCCTCTGATTGAAAACAAACATGGCCGTCTTGTAGTTGTTCCGCAGACATATTGTACATTACTTCAAAACACGCTTTCGTGAAATGAGATGGCTCGAAGATCCAAAACTAGTTTAGAAAATGAAATAGAGCGTTCACGGTGGGAGGAAAAATGGGAATATATTCCAAAACTGGTCGATCAGCTATCGAGTCGGACTACAAGTGAACCAAGTATAGGTGAGTTTTTGTTGTCATCAAGTAATTTTTTTGGTAATTATCAGCTGGATTTTACTTTAAATTTTCATCAACATGGATACTAGAAGGTAAAATTTTTGTTCAATAATTCTTAAGTTTTGTGTATGCGTCGAAAAATTGTTTCCTTTAATTGAAGAGTATCCTCTCCGTCTGGTTTTAATGTTTACATTCACCATTAAATTATTTCGAAATCTAAACAAGGTTACATTGATATTGGCAGACACTGAGATATGTCACAAATTTTTCAAACGTCACTGGGAAGATTCAGATTCAAGGAAATCATTTTTAGAGGAAGTCACCTTGCCAATGTTTATTCAGTCGTTCATTAAAATGTTGTGAGGTTATGTTTGGGAAGTTTAACGGAAGTAGAATCGATTCGCATCAGTCTCTTTGGGGTCATTTAGAATTTTAAGTGATGGAGGCTTTTCCAGGGTTTACAGGTTTTTCAAAGTTTAAAGAGACTGGAGAAAGGCTTATTAAACAAAGTATATTCACTCTGGGGACAGTAGGAGTAACATTCCAGGTGACACCATCCAATGAATGAGACACATTTAATCTTTAATAGTCATCAGTGAAGAGGACTTGCAATACAGAATTTTAAAAACAATGAAACCTTAAATTTCATTATGTGGCCAAACTGGATCTCTTATATAAAGCTGTATCATTTACATGTATCTGATCTGATTTTCAATTATCCCCTCTAGCTGCTACACATTTCCTTATAAAGAAGTTGCAGGAATTTGGTGCTAGATCAAGATAACAACTTCTACCTGATCAATTTGAGTATTCTCATTCTAGTCTGGTAGATAACATGTAGTTATGATAGGGAGAAGTTACATGTTTATCACTACTGGGAGTTAAAGGGTTAATTTTCATTTACAGATACAATAAAAAAGTTCCTAATCAGTGAATCCCGGCTTGAAATATACCTCAGAGATCATCCTCTTGGAACAACAGATGCTGTTCAGGCTAAGAAAAGTTTAGGGGAAACTATCTCAAATCTTGAAAAACTGGTTTCTCAAGATAAGTTGGGAAAGGTATGTAAACAGTAAACAAATGAATCACCAGTTGCCTAGTAAAAGCACTTCATCCACAAAAACAAGGACTGTTTCCCTGAACTCAACCATTTATTTTCACATTTTTCACCCATGAGGTTGTGTAAATCATGTAGCCTAAAAGTCACTAAAGCAATGGCACACAATGCGCACAAATGACAAAAAAATAAGAAAAACTAAACAAAATGTCAATGTTCAGTGGCAACACCAGTAACCAATCAATAAATCAAAAAATAAATAAATGAATGAAGTAATAGATAGATAGATAAATACTGTAAACAGATACCTATCCAAATAAATTGATGATTTGACCTCCAAGATCAGATTGTTAATTTTTTTCTTTCTTGAACCATAACTTATCTTCTAATTGAACAGGTAGAGAGGAAACAAGAAGCTTTATTTTTGCTTTGCAAAGCTCATTTTGTATTGGAAGACTTTCAAAGTTGTGTAGAATACTGCAAACAAGCTGGAATGGAAGACATCTACATGGACACACAACTTAAGAGGAAAACAAAACTGGTTGCTGAAGGTTTTGCTCACAAAGGTAAGATTCCTTTCCAGCAGCTGATTTTGCAGACTGATAAATCATATCTCCATGGTATTGTTTTTCATGCACCGATAGGAACAAATGATTTGGTTTGACACAGAATGCTACATTTCTGGCTCAAGAACTCCAAATTATTATAAAAGAACCTTGGTTGCCAGGAATGATTGCTTCAGGGATTTGCTGACATTCAGTTTTCTCGGGTATGATTGTGTCAACCCTTTTAACTCTAATATCAGTATGCAAGTTCTCCACACTTTTCTATATACATTTCCTATGGTACAGAGCCAGTGGTCATCTCCTTTATTCTTGTGATCTTAATGTTTGAGTCAAGGTTGATACTGTTGGAAGAATTTAGATGTTTATCACTCTTAGGTGCAAAAGGGTTTAAAAGCAAGTTGGTCTTTTCATTTGCAATGATAGCAAAATGCTCTCCCATCTTGAAAAACATATAACTCATTTTACCAGATGTAAAATTTAAGTTGGGAAAAGTCAATTTTGGAAACATTACCAGACAATCCAAAGTTTTAACCATGGCATGTTTAGTCAAATGATGCTTGTAGACCAATCATTTAGGAGCAAAATATTAAATGGGTTATAGAAATGTTTTTTATTGACTATGTATCTTATACTCTCAGCAATGGCTCTTGAACAGTTGCAGTCAATTGGAAAGTCAGATATCAGTGATGAGGACATTATTGCTTGTTATGAATGCGCTGGTGACATAGGGCTCTGGCTAATTACTGACCAGACATCTTCACAAAGGACTGTAACAACATCACAAATGCCAAAGTTAGGAAGAACCTTGGAGATAGCAATTCAAAGGGCCCCAGTGCTTCTTATCAAGAATGGGTGAGTAATACCCAGGCTTACTCAGATGCACTTTCTGCTGCACATGCAGACTGTTGTGCATGTTAAGTTTGTCCGCACTATGTTTGTATTACAGGCTCCAAACTCCCCTGTGATGTAATTTAATTTATTAAAAAAGGGAAAGCTCTGATTTTCATTTTAGAGATGAAGTTTAATTTATGTCTTTATACTGTAACAGGAAAATTATTGATGGCATCAACAGATTCAGGCACATGTTGAGAGTGGTGGAGACAAGAACTACTCTTGGCTTGAGAAAGGTAAATGCATTGTCTAACGACTTTTGATCATTGTAGCAGAGTTTTAGGGAGTTTAACAGCCAGTAGCAGCTTGTGATCAAGCCACTTGTGATCAAGCCTCTCTTTCTCAAATGTTGTTGTTTTATTTTTTTTTTTTTACAAAACCTCAAATGTGTTCAGGGACTAGCCAAACAACTGGCGCAGGTTCTTTTACGAGGAGTTTGTGAGAGGAGCTATGAAAAACCTTTAAATTTACTGCCCAGCTCTCCACTGATAAGCTCAACATCGTCACTGAAATCTGGATCCAAGATGGACTTGAAGGCCACCTCAAGTAATGTTATCACTTGCAAGCATGCAACCTTTCCTCTAAAACCACAAATGTACAATGGAGAAAGGTATGAGATGAGCCTATTTGTGCCTTTTATTTTAAGTCCTTCAAGCTGATCTGAGAGTTTTACTGAAATTCTCCCAATGGTGAGGTTTGATCTAAAAACCAAGTGATTTTATCACTTTCATTTAAAAAAACACCTGAAATTATGACACAGACTGTTAAGATAACCTTTGGAGAAGTGTCTAAAAATTTGCTCTAAGTTTGACAAGTTTCTCAAAACATACATCTTGTCCAACAAGGTTTAGGAATATGGCCACTCCTGTGAATAGCATTCCAGTCCTTTCATCATTAAGAATGCCTCAGCAATACATGTATGTCAAGTTTCCTAGACAGTTAACTGGATCTGATCTATAGTTCTTGGAAGAGAGAGACATTTTGTAGGGTGTGTTTTCCAGCTTGCCCAAGAACACAAAATGATGATCCTAATCAATTAAACCAGGCCCAGTTGTTCAAGCATGGATAACACTATCCACAGTATAAATCTCTCTCTGGTGGATAGCCCAGTATGTTTTGTTTACACTTATCTGTTGTATAGTGATTTATCCACTGGGCAGTGTTATCCAGCCTTTATACAACAGGACCCAAGACATTGAAGAGGTGTCCCATACACTACCTATGAGGCTACTTTGTTCCCCATGCAATGATGTGTACTTTTTTTTTCTTGCAGTTTGTTTTTCCCCAGGAATGAAACAGAAGAGAGTTTGCTCCTTTTGCTTTTGGAGGAGGCTATGGTATGGTTTGTTTAAAACTGAGTTTTTGTTTGTTTGTTTTTTCTGTTGTTTAGAATTGTTATGTTTTTCATGTAGGTTTAAAGATAAGGTAAATATTGCCTTGTGATAAATTTATTTTCCACTAGGTTTAGGTATAATTATTTATTGTTAGTAGTAAATATACTATTTGTAGTAATGTTGTGTAAAATACTTCTAACTTGTACTAAAGGGAAGCATGTAATAGCACTGAAGTAACAACCATGATTTTTAAACTGGATGTGTAACAGACACTGTAGTCACATACACTTTACTTGTTTTATGAAGAAGTTGCAATTTCTTTGTTTTGTTCTTGAAATTTGATCAGAAATATTGTTATCTCTTGTTTTAGTTCTGTCCTCTGATTGATTTTCATTGTTTTGGTGGCCTCAAGCTTATTAGAATACTGTTGAATTTTACTTGTTTGTTTGTTTTTTGGTTTTGTTTTTTCAGGTCTCTAAGGATGCAGAGCTAAGTCAAGCTCCAGAGAGATCAACAGCTAGGCAACAGACAGTGATAGACTCTGAGAATGCGTACGACTTACTAACAGTGGCACTGGTCAGGAGAGCTCAGTATGGCATGTTAGCAGAGGTTAGCATGTAGCAATAAGCTTTCTAAGAGCACTTTTTCACAGATTGTCAGAATACCATAACTTCAATAGTAACTTAGCCATAAGAGCCAATGAGAGCAAAGAAAAAGATGATACCAATTTTTTTTTTGAATGTGTTTCAGTGTTTTGACAGAGGGATGAAAGTTGCTTTTGAAGAGTTCCACCTGTGGTTTCAGTTTGGTTTGTCTCTGATCAGCGCAGGCAAAGTATGTGTTTCCATATCTGAAGTTCATTGTTATTAATCCTTTACACCCTAACATCAGTATGCATATTCTCCATACTGTTCTCTAAACATTTCCTAAGGTGCTGACAAGGAGAATTTGTCTAACAATCAAGAGCTAATCTTAAGTTGGTGATCATTTCCTTTATTCTTGTGACCTTAACATTTGATTCAGGGTGATATGGTAAGGAGAAATTAGATGCCAGTCACTCTTAGGGGGTTAAAGGGTTGACAAGCAGTGGACTATTTTGACTATGTTTCGCTTTCACGGAAACTAACCAAGAAAATAGGCCTTATTGCCTGATCAATCACAATGAATTTTCAGTAGAATTAAGTCATGAAAATTTACTACTCTGCTACTTGCGCAGAAAGGGATTGGGGAAGTGATCCAATAGGTTTTTTCGTTGATGTTGTTGTTTCTCGTGAATCTCTGTTTCACAGTTGTAAACAGAGGAGCTTTTTTAACATTGTAAATTGACTTTTTCTACTGCCTTTAGTATCACAGAGCCCTGATGGTTCTCAAACAGTGTCATCAGCTTCGACCAGAGGACTCCTTAGTCTGCCTTTATGCTGCTAAGCTCTGTTTTAACAGCCTTCACATGGTATGAAAATTTGCTTCTTTTATTAACATAGAATGTAGAAATAGGGTTTGCCTTATAAATGTATGAGAACTCTGATGAAAGAATCCTTTCCATTAGTAGCCTAGCCATAATAGCGGGGTTAAGTAGCTTAAAAATACTACTCTTTGTAGAAGGAAGTCGAGAAGTACATTAACACGGAACATTTAGGAAGACCGGAATAATATTATTTTGGGGAATTAATTGAATAATTATGTAATGCGACGCATTTTTTTCCTTACCAAGGATTCATTGTTCCTCTTTCCTTGCTTTAAGATATCCATTGTTTTTTTGGAAGCCATTCCTCATACAGTTAAAACCTTTTTTTTAATTCTTAACTTGAACTGCTCTCAGTCGAGTGAACAGAATTGTAGTTTGTTTTCAGTCAGTCAAAAGACTCATTAAAGCTAAAGGATGCCACGGTTAAATTTCAATTTTAGTCTTATCGCTATTCGTGATTACGACGTTGAATTAAGAAAAAAATTGGATGAGAATAAAAATGAATAGTATTTGGTTGTAATAATGGAGTGTTCGGATTAGCAAGGTTGTTAGTATAGGTAATCACATGAGGCCAAGTACTATTAAGGATTAATTGCACGAGAGTTTTCAAAATTTTCCAAAATTGTCTGAGTCGCGAAGCGACAAGGGCAATTTGGAAAATTTTGAAAACTCAAGTGCAATTAATCCTTAATAGTACGAGGTCTCATGGGATTACTTGTTTATCAATAAAGGGCAAAATTATGCAACGGATTAGCCAATCATTAACAGGTAATCATGCCCTCTCTTGATTACTAAAAATGCCCTCGATTAAGAAAAAATGCCCTCTCTCTCAACCAATCAGTGCTCAGTAATTTTGCCCTTTATTGATAAAATTAGAAACTGAGTGGACCTCCACTCAGATTTCTAAAACGTAATCACGTGAACAAAGGATAGGATTGTGCTGTCGTCAACCCTGGCCGAGTCATTGTGTTGTGTCCTGGGCCGAGGCACTCCACTATCACAGTGCTTCTCTCCATCGTGGAGTATAAATGGGTACCAATGAACTGCTGGAGAGACTTAGTGAAGTGTCGAGAGGTTACATGACACGGAGTAGCTTCCTATTTAGGGGATCGGTGGTACTCTTTTACGTTTCGTGCTACGAAAATCGAGGTAGATAGAATCCTGTGGTGTGGGAAACTTGGTACGTGGGCAAATTTTACAATTCTTGACGTTATAAGTATTACAAATGGTACAGCAAAACGAAAGAGCGAAAAAAAAAGGGAGGTTTAAAATAACGTGTTGTTATTTATGAGATTTTTTGCTCTCTTGTTTTTATTTACAAGATTGATGAAGGGATAAAGTTTGCCAAGAAAGTCATCGCCAAGGGAGATGAGAAAGAGCTTTCGTCCAGAGGATACCTGGCACTGGGTATCGGTTACAGCCTGCAGGCCAGCGAAGGTGCATGGGATTTGTTATTAAATTTGTAACTTCCTCTTTGAATTTGCCAATCTGCGCAGAGACTGGGCCGGAAACATTCCCAACTACCGTATTTATTCGTCTATAAGCCGAGCGATTTTTCCAACAAATTAAACTGAGAACAGGTAAATTCTCGCCAAGGTAGGGGGTTCGGCTTATAGCCGAGTATTTTCGCCAAAAAAAATTTACGGGTGCTTAACAAGATTCGAAATTTGACAACATGAAAAACTGGCCAATCAGAAGCGGTCATTCCCACGGTTTGTGTAAACATTGCAACACGATCTGACAGATATCAGCTGATTGAAGCTTTTCATTGTTTTAAAGAAACGAAAGACTTACCTTGACTCCTCTGCTCTGAAAACCAGTCCAGTAGTGTTTGATCCAATTCAGGATACTTTGGCGAAAAGCAGCCTATCGTCTTTCGCTTTGCTGACATTTTAAGCTCACCATTAAACAGGTTCGCTTGATCTTTTCGCCACTGATTCACTGATTCCGTAATCTCTAGCGATCTAGAATGATCTATGTTTATTCATAACCTACTTTTTGTTTGCATGTTTCCCGAGAGGGAAGCTCCTTTTGTTTTCGGTTTATGTTAATTCATCTCAGTTAACGACACGCGTGGAGTACTTTGCAATTATTAGGTCTCGGCTTATAGCCGAATGTTTTGTGTTTATTTTTTATTTCAATGCAACAGCTGCTGACATGAAAAAGTTTAGGGTCTCTGCTTATAGCCGAGATCGGCTTATAGGCGAATAAATACGGTAATGAAAATTTGTTTTCGGAATTTTTCTGCATGTCTTTTATCAGTTAGACAGTAAAGAGTCTGACGACGATTTTCTTAGAGGTTGTTTCAGGGACACTTCGCTTCGACACGTTAGCTAGCTAATATTCCTTTTCGGTTGTTTTCTTTTCATTACTGACGACATATTACAAGTACAAAATGTGTTCAAGGCATGCAGAAAGGGGTCTGTTTTTGGTGGAAAGTGTTATTTGATCGGCGATCGACCTTAAAGCGCACCGTTCCCATCTGATAAGAATAATAAAAACTTTGCGGGGGATGGGGTGGGAAATTGGATTGTTAGCACCCCAACTCCACACCTCCCTTGCGAGTATGTTGCAAACTACCCAATAATGAGCAGACTCGACTACCGATTCTTACGAGCATAGCAGACTGAGAAATAATAAATTAAAGAGCTCAATATGATTATTAATTCTCGATTAAAGAAGCCAGCATGCAGTCTGTAATTGTTTGGATGTCGAGAGAGAAATCGAGGATGACCGAAGTAGAGCAACGTTTCATGGGGCTAGGTGTGGCTATTTCGGGCATTTATCAGCAGATGGTTGAAGCTATCTAAATGGAAGATGTTTTTAATGTCCTATATTCATGTACCTTCTTGCAGCTTGTTTAAGAGGAGAACGTCAACAGCTTCAGAAACAAGCAATTGATGCTCTTCAGAAGTAAGTGTCATGATAGAAAATTTGATTTTCCTCCATGATTTCCTGTGCTAGCCTTTTCACAGCTCATCCTTTTAATTTAATTTATATCTGCAAACTTTACGCTATCGACATTGCTGATCCTAACAGTATGCAGGACGCGCGTCATAAGAACTTCGTAATGGAGTCTCTGTGGCTCAGTTGTAGAGCATCGGAGCGCAAAATCCTAAGGTCTGAGGTTCGATTTCTCATGTGGATTAAGAATTTTTTCTTTGTCCCACGCTCGTGACAAGACGAAAAACATCTTTCTTCATCCTTTTAATGTTGCTAATGATAATTTTCTTTTTAACCTATGTTACGTTACCACGGCCACTTCAATCGAGACCAGTTCCTTCTCGGCCCTTTGAATGAAAGCCTGTTGAAAGCAAGAGAGACGCTAAATTTTGAGTTCGTCTCTTGACGTCGTGAAATATTTGTCTCGAGTGCGGAACAAGACCTTCTCATTCTTGCATTTTCTCTCTGTCTTTTACACAGGGGGCACAACTTGGATCCTGACGACAGCGAAGTCTTATTTCACCTCGCCCTCAATCATGCTCTCATGAGACAGGTGAGAATTAATTCGAAAATAATCGACTGCTGTGTTCTTTGGAATGGTTGATTTGAACAGTCAGGGGTAAGCAAAGAAGCATGAAGCATGAAACTTGTTCGCAAGAATTACCGCAAAAAAATCGTTCTTTCCACTCAACTATTGCTTTATGGATGGTGCTCCCCTATCGATGTTCTATTGCAGTGCTATTTCCCGCACTTTAACCTGTTTTCTGGTTTATACTTTGAGTACTTGTTGGTCCGCTACAACATTTGCCTTTGTTCTTATTTACTTTGAGTTCTCGGCTGCCACCGATAACGTTTTTTTGTTGTTCTTGGTAGCCGTTTTGATCCCTGTGATTTTTATGTTATGATGTGGTACCATCAAGCGCTTTAAAGTGTGGATTGTTTCAAACAGTTCCCTAAAAGTTTGTTTTACTTTCATTTCCAGATGACGAAGGCCCTGAAGAACATCAGAAATGCACTTAAAATGGACATGAATCAATCCTTTTTTCTGCATCTTTTAGCTCTTATACTTTCTTCCCAGAAAAAGGTAAGCTACTCGTTTATGCTCCGCCTTGTGTAGAACTTAAAGCAAGAATTCTCATCACTGATCCTTATCGATTTTATGCGTTGTTAATGTTCACCGTTTCCTCTGTATCGGTGTACTGGTGTAGTGAGGAGAATATGATTGATTTGTTTGTTCATAGTTTGTTGAGGCACTAGAGGTCTGTGATGCTGCTCTGATGGAATTCCCTGATGACTTCAGGTGTGTGTTGTATTTCAGTTCTCAGTTGTTGCAGTTGCTAGACTGTCATGGAGACCTGATTAAATACCGAGGGTTTCTCGGTCTGTGATGGACCAGAGTATCATCTTCAGGAAGTAACAGTGTCTCTTATTTGCTTGATGTTATCTACTGTCTGTTTTCAGTTTGCTTCTGACGAAGGTTAAACTGGAACAGGCTTGCTTAGGTGGAGAGCAAGCGCTGATCACGTGCAAACGGTTGTTGGAAACCTGGAAACGAGTGTACGAGTCTGATCTATCGGGGTGAGTGTGAAGAGCAAACTGTGGAAAGTTTCTGCTTTTTGCGCAAACATTTACTTATTTATTGTGGGTAAAAGTTTTCGAATAAGGGGTAAGCAAAGAACCAAAACCTAAGATATGAAAGGATTTTATCCACCTCGAAGTTTGGAGGGACCTTTGTTGATTTGATAAGCAAACATGGACAACCAAATTGAGATTAGTTATTATTTCAGGCTTGGTCATTTGTAACTGGAAATGCAATGGTTTTGAGCCGTTTAAAGAGACTGTTAACCATTCCAGTGCTTTTACAAAGACAATAGTAGTAATTGATAATTGTGAACTGTCAGGGGAACCCTAAAAAATTGCTTAGGTGGGGTTACTGTGCACGAGCTATCGACTACCATCTCGTTTAGTAGGCGGGGGATATATAGTCAATTGAAGCTCGAGGAAACATTACAAGATTAAAAAGGAAGAGGCCACTAGGTGGTTAAGGACTGCCAATCAGTCTCTGTTCGTGGAAGGAATTGTGCACGCTACACGTAAACGAGTAAAATTATTTGGGACCCAGTGCCTTACTCACAAACTGTGTAAAATTTAAAGTGGGCCCAAAGGTCTTAACTGCTTGCTGCTTTCAGATCCACAGAGCTTCAAAGGGCTGGATCAGGTTTGCTAGACAAAGTTATCACAGATTCTCGAAGCTTGAAACAGATTCCACTCACAGAACTCACCAGTGAAAAAGACTCCGGTAAGTGTTCCTTCAAACATTAGAATTCCCCGCGTTACTCTGGTTATTGGAGCCTGTTCGGAACTAATTGCCATTGTGTTTCCTGTCAGATGATGGTGCCAGTTCCATCGCGGCTTCAGTGCGCCTGGAACAGGCCTTATCAGACGAGGCTGCCTCGACTTCCGTCCGACTCAGCGTTCCAGCTGTATTAGCCTTACAAGCAAAACTCTGGCTTGCTATTGGTTAGTCCTATTTATGTGTCCAGTCAATAAAACCAGCACAATCCCAGATCAGTTGAGAACACTGCATCATTAGTTCTTTTGACAATTTGTCAACAGTTTCCACCTAATCTACTCATTTCTATTTAGTCACTCAGGGAAGTGGTTTGTTAATTTATTTCATTTGACCATCTGGAGACATATGATGTGTTTTGTTACAGCTGATGTGTATGTCGCCATGGAAAAGGACACTGAAGCCAGCGCATGCGTTCAGGAGGCGCATTTGATATTCCCTTTTTCCCCGGATGTGCTGTTTCAGGTATGAGTCTGCGTATTGTCAGTGCACCAAGACGCGGTTGTTAGGAACAATTTTGGCCCAACTTTCATAAAAAGGGGGGGTAGGAAATCTAACACAGCTCTCAAAAAAGTGAGGGGAGGGGGGGAGGAATGGAGTACTTAGATAGTCCTTCCGTCCTGCCTCTCTTTTATATGGCACCACGGTATTTTTTTCTCCTATATTGATTTGCCTTACCCCCCCCCCCCCTTAATTACCCAAGATCTCTCAATCCTGTCGTATTAATACGCATCACCTTCCCTTTTTTAAAATGCTCTCAACTCAGAAGGGAGCTTTAGATCGAGGACGCGACCGCTTTGAGAACGTGGTGACCGATCAAAAGCCTGGACGAGAACGGGGCAATTTTAAGAAGTGCTGTGAGCTAACGCCGGGATAGCACGCTGATGTGCGCATAGAAAATTCTGAGTCAGTCCCATATGCAGACTTCAAATGGTTTTTTTTGTTGTTGTTCTTAATTTATTTTTATTTTCTTACACAGCGTGGCCGCATTTTCGAGCTTAAAGAAAACCTTACGGAGGCCAAGAATTGCTTCGATAATGCGATCTCCATAAACCCAAGCCACGTGGCCAGCATTCAACACCTGGTAGGATGTACAAAATAAAACTGGACTCATCAACGAATACAGATTGGCTTTAAAAAATTAATTGAGTATTCGCACTATTAGAGAGTAGCCGTGATTTATCGGCGGGGGGTGGGAAGATTTTGGGAGGATCCTATGGTTTTTGAGGGATACGGAGGGGAGATCAGTCGTCGCTAACAGAGTATAAAGGGGGGGGGAACTATAGAAAATTGACCGCTAATTTCAGTTGAATTAGATTTTTTTCTAATTTCAATTGTTTCTCCTCCTCCTCCTCCTCCTCAAGATTGTGTTATGTGAACAGTGGCGTCAGTCGCGGCTACGTTTACACGTGAATCTGGGTATTTAAGTTAATAACTGAGTTGATAACGTAAATTGGCCTCCGTAAAGAGTTTCAAAGCTGACGTTTCAAGCGTTAGCCCCTCGTTAGCTCTACGCTCGAAATGTCAGCTTTTAAACTCTTAACGGTGGCCAATTTACGTTATCAACCCAGTTGATAATACTGAATTACCTTGTTATACTCTCTCACCGACGGAGCACCACAGTTTCTCAAGAAACTTACCCCCTTTATATGTGAAACTGTTTGATTCATTTGTTTTCCTCAGGGTGCAGTGTATCACAAACTTGGTAATCTTGTTATGGCTGAGAAAGTCCTCCGCGAAGCTATCAATATCGATCCAACAGCATTTGAAGCTTGGTGAGTGATCGCTTTCATTCAAGTTTTTGGTTTGGGCGCGGTTGTGAATCATTAAGCAACAGGGTACCATTCATTTTGTTATAACTGAATAATATACGGGTCATGTGATTTTTTTTTTCATCTTTCTTGCTTACACGGATTTATAGTCTTGTTCAGTGCCAGATCCCCCTCACCAGCGACATGTTGCGTTACATTATATAACGCTTTCTCGATTCTGTTATTTTATTTCGTGCACCGTGTTGTATCGTGCCATTTCATGTTCAAAGACCTGCCAGTGTAAATAAATGGTCATGAAACGTGTAGGTCTCATTTGTAATTCTCCTTACTGTCTGCCATACAATTCTCATGGTGTAAGTTCACAGAATATGGTATTGGATCAATTAATAACCCCCTTATTGATATTAATCTCTATTCTCACCACTTGTGTGTTTGATATTGTATTGATATGTACGATGTGTCTGTCTGCTTAATGTGTCATTTCATTTCAGGCATCTTTTAGGCGTGGTTATGGAAGCTCAAGACGAACACGAGGCAGCGAGCGAGTGTCTAATGACAGCTATTGACTTAGAGGCCACACATCCTATTGTGCCATTAACAGTGATACCAAGGTTATTATGAGCCTACCAGAAGTTTGCTGTGATCCAACAACCGAAAAACAACAAGAATACTTAAAAAATGATTTTTAGTAGTAATATGACTGAGTACAGTCAAATTATGTAATCGTACGAGTGATTACCAAATCAGACGACCGCGATACGGGAGTCCGATTTGTTTATTACGAGTATGAGAGCAGACAGAATTGAACAACCCAAAGTCCTGTCACCAATGAATCAACACTTTGACCAAAATTTGAGAAATAAACTAGCCATCAGTGATATGTTTTCATGAAAAAAGCTACAAGGAACTAGGCAAATGCGTGGCAGTAGCGCGTGCACGTGACCTGTACTGTCCAGTTACACGGACATGACGCTGATTACACCGTGCAATTACAAGCATGACGAGTAAGTGTCCAATTGGTGCACAAATCGGAAAGGTGTTAACCAGTCGCGTTCGAGAATTGTTCAGTTTAAAATTTTGATTATGATGTTAATTTCACTCCGATGTGCTCAGTCCTCAATGAAGACAAGTTTTATTTATAAAAATACAATAAAGTAAATGAATTATATTATTGTCGTTTGCGACTAGCAGATCTTCTTGTAACGCTGGTCTGGAATGAGCCGTCCACAAATACATTTAGTAGACTGGGAAGAGCATGCCCTTGAAGAATGCAAACAGCTTTTTGACACCGAACCAATTAAGGGTGTTACTCGCTCCTGGTACTAGAAGGACAGTGGACTGATTAAAAAAACAAAAAGGAAGAAGAAAAACTCCCGTTTACGCCTACTATTGAGAAATAGTAGGCGTGAGAAATATTCATGAGAAATATTCAAAACAAGCTTAAAGAAATGTTTGTTTTGCTAAACGTGTTTGTTTCAAGTTGTAATTTCGTAGTGAACTGTTGATTTTATCAGCAACCCAAAGCCCTGACCTAGAATGCGATGAAACAGACATTCAAGCATGATAATTAAGCATGATAATATACATTGCTTTCTCTCTTTGAGTAAGCTCATTGTCTCCGGGTTCCAAGAATCACTTTCGATTTCCGGTCGTGGAGTCGTATTCCGTACCGTGCTCTATGATTGGCGGAGAACTGTCGTTTTCTCAGAATTCGTCGGTATTTTGCATAATAGGTTTCAGGGAAGATCGAGCGGCATAGTTATGATTCAATTTTTCGGCGATAAAAAGTGTTATAGTTCGTATTGGTTGGAATGGATGTTTGCAACAGCAAGGAAGATTGAGGTAAGTGTTATTTAATTGCACTTCAACTCTTTGGCGAAATCTTGTTGCTTCACGACTCGACCAATTTTAGACCCAGTCCATGATCGCAGGGCAGACAAGGTACAAGCTTCGTGAATAGAAAAGTAATGGGAATTTGCTCTTTGGGAAACCATCCAGCCGTAACAGGAAAATTTTCGGTGAAATAAACAATCGTACTCCTTTCCAAATTTCTTGGCCGAGCCTTATGACTCTTTTGAGGAAGTTTACACTTCCTTCCTTGGATGCAGACAAGTCAAACTCTGTGATCCCTTTGAACGTGTCTACTTCAGCTTGGAATCGTAGATCTTTTAGCTATTTTTAAATAGTTTCTAGAACCAGTACCGGTTTTTTTTCGACTGATAGCGATAGGACCCGCAAATATCAAGGATCCCGCATCGGCAAAGTCGACGTTTATCGAAGGCATTTCACAGATTCCTTTCTCATTGCTGGTAATACGGGAAAAAATATAATCAATGGCGATTTACGATGTTGGCTCTCTTGGAAATTCGGAAACCAATTCACTGCCGTACATACTGAAAATTTCTGGAAGCAGGTATACTCTATTTGTCAGGACTTTAAAATATTTCCATGATCAACCTAAGGATATCTTCAGTGAATGAAATACGCAGACTTAAATATGATAAACTGGTATTGTTTGACATATAAGTGAAATGAGTGAACTCACTCTATACACGATTAGAATTTAGATTCTTCATGAACCGCCATAAGCTTTCTTTAGCAAACGTAGTTAACTGTCTACAGAAACCCAGGTCAATATCACTAGCGATATGAATATTTATTTCGTCGAAGTAAGTGAGGGGATTCTCTGCATTCAAGCAGCGTAGCGATCGACGCACTCGGAGCTGGATAGGACCGAAAATTTGAGGTGAAAAGATCCATTCAAACGGTGAAGCATCGGAAACAAAACTAACTGAAACCAATCTCTCTCCATATGAAAATCGCCGAATGGCTAAAAGCTTGTAGTAGTTAGCTGTTTGAAATACATTTACGCCCGTTGATGACCACTGAGTGACGAAAAATTCTGAGACACATACACATAAAAGGTTTTTGCGATTTTTCTCTCCCTTTTCTTCTTCGTCTTACACAGGGCACATTGATGGAAACACTTTTCCTCAGTTTGCAAAACGCTCGTGTTTTCTTTGAACAGGCTTTTCAAAAGAAAAATTTGAGAGGCAAAACAAGTCATAAATATTTTCCGAAATACTTTGTTATGGATCTTCGGAAGCTTTAATTTCGAGGGATCCCGTATACATCATCCAAGTGTGATATTTTGTTGAGTATATAATAGATAATTATAGTGAATAGTAGGGCAGAGGATAAACCAGAATGTTCCACCATTCCAGTGAATAAATACATCTTCAAAACATGTAAAATTAGTTCTCTAATCGGTTGTTTAGACTGCAAAGGCCTCTTCTTAATTTATACAAATGTAAGGTGAGTTGTGGCTGGCGAACAGTTTTATAGAAACGCATGAAACAGTCGTCTGACCAACATTCGATTCAAACATTTTGTTCCACATTAAGATTGTCGATAGATTTATTCACATTTAAAAAGTTTCCATCTATAGCACAAGGATTTTTTTCTGTTTCTTCCACAGTAAAAAATCAAAGTGACGAAGTTTCCTGAGCTTCCATCGAAGATGTTCGAATGACACAATGGCAGAGCAGCCTCGCAAAACTGTTAAAGGTAAGCGATGAAATTTTACTGCCATGCGCCCTTAATTTATCAACATGCACATGGGCTTCAATCCTTTAGGTTTACTGAACAGCAAACTTTTTAACCATGCAACAGTTGTAAGCATCAAAGATGATAATATTCTAGGATATGTTTAGGAAAACAGACAAATAATCCATGATGTTTTACGAGATTATGGTCTACTTTTCATCTACTTCCTAGTAAACTATAGAGCATTTTGTACTTAAAAACCTAGCTGTAACCGAATGGGGCCATAGGACTTTAAAGGTGCGATAACTTTATCAAAAACGTATCTTCTGTATTACACCCTTTGAGGAAAGTGAAGGTAAATGCTAGTTATGGGGAGTATTTGCACATTAAAATATGTTAAACATTTCAAAGCTGAAGGTTGTTTTTTTTTTCGCCTCAACTTAAATATATTGGGTCTCAAGAGGAACTGAGATTTTAACTCTGAAGTGAGTTTCTGTTCGATTTCACTTTAGAACGTATGTATCCCTCGCCAGTACCGTTGAAGGAACTTTAATAAATAGCGGAAGCTTTGTGATCTTGAGACGCCACTAAAGTTCGAATGTTGTTAGAATTTAACCTCTGAAAAGATTGATAACATTTTTTTAAACCGGCCTCATGATCTACATAGTTACCGATGCGAGCATTTTCTTCAATCTATCAAAGTCAAGTTAAGAATTTTAATAAAGAACATAAAAGACAGAAAACAAGATTATCCAAGAATTCTGTTTACAATTTGGCTCGCTGGAGAGGTCATATTATGTTTGTAGGTAGTTACTCTTGTACTAGATATAAACACACACACACAACCCACAATTCCTCCATTCCCACTGGCGGAGGGTCCGATGCTCGAAACGTCCGCTTTTAAACTCTTTACGGTGGCTAATTTACGTTATCAACTTAGCTGATAATAGTAAATTAACTTGTTATACTCTTTTGCTGGTTAGTTTCGTTTCGCTAATTCTTACAACCGTTTTGTTTCTTTGCCATAACAGGGAGGTCCTATGGCCAAAGGAGACCTCCATTAACCCACATTTTGAAAAGTATCTTGGAAAGATACCCAGATGGAGGACAAATCTTAAAGGTATGAATGATGATGCTTCTCTCAGCAATGTATTGAAAGCGGTAAAAACTTGTACAGTCAACCCAGTTTAAAAGAGCAAGGTTAATGCTTCGTTTCTGTTGATTAAATGAATGAGTGTAAGGTAATCCTAGACTGAGAAAACATTAGCAGTGATGGGGTGTTCAAAATTATTGATCACAGGGTGAGGAGGAAGAAGGATCTTTCGCGGTAATGATCGATTAACGAATTGATTAATTCAATATGAGTAACCGAAAGCTTCTGTGAGTCGTGACCAAGGATAATTTATTTCCTTGTTAAGAAGAAGTCAACAGTTATATGTCTGTGACAGCCTATATTTTTGCATGAGGGTGAAACAATTCATAAAATGTTCTAAGCAGAGATACATCGGACCCTTTTAAATGCTATTAAATGTTCTTGTTTTGTGTCCCTTTGTTTTATTTTCCTGTAAAATGACAAAAACCTCCTTACTGTTGATTCAACAATAATACGTTGGTGATAATTTCATGACTTTAAAACACAAGCGGTCACACAAGAGAAACTGGTGCTAACGAGTCAACATAAAATAAATGTTGTGGTACATAAATAAAAGGTAGTACAAAGATCGAGGAATATGAAATTCACTTCCTTCTTCTTTACCTTGTCGTTATTTGATACCTGGGTCATGTTGTCTTTTTTCAGGAAATTATTCAGAATGCAGATGACGCAGGTGCCACAAAAGTGTCCTTTCTCCTTGATTCGCGTCAGGGCTTTTACGGAAGGAACTCGCTTGTCGCACCTAGTCTTTGTCAGTTCCAGGGCCCTGCTTTATATGCTCAGAACAATGCTCGGTTCGAGGAAAGTGACTGGGAAAACTTGCAGAAACTGATGGATAGCGATAAGAAAGATGACCCTTTAAAAGTTGGTCGATTTGGAATTGGCTTCAATTCTGTTTATCATTTGACTGGTAAGTTTCTTTAAGGGTGATAAAAAATCATTACCATATGACATCGTAGCAGATCATTGAAATTCTCGGATTGCAATGCAAAAAGAAACTTCCTGGAAACAGAAGAGCGGAAATCCTTGCCGAGAAATTTTCCCTTGCGTCTAGAAAAAAAAAACCATAACAAGTTTCGTTCTAAAATCATCTGTTCAACCCAGCAACTGCACATCCTTTTAAGGTGCGTGTTGAAACAGATTGAGTATCTGCACTTAATAATGAGACAATTATATTTACTAAACTGGTTACTTATTAACACATGATTTAGATCTGCCCAGCATCGTGAGTGGAGATTCTGTTGTATTTCTTGATCCTCAAGAAATACACTTTGGTAGAGGGGAAACGGGACAAGAATTTTCCCTTGAGGATGAACTCCTTGAAAATCACGAAGACCAGTTCAAGCCGTACGAGAATGTCTTAGACTGCAAAATTTCGACTCGATTTTACAATGGAACTTTGTTTCGTTTTCCGTTACGAAGTGCACCATCAGACTTATCCGAAAAGGTTTACAGTAAGGAAAAAGTTCGCAAATTATTTCAAGCCCTCGAAAAGGAAGCACCTGTTATTCTGCTCTTCCTGAAAAACATTGAAGAAATCGTTCTGTTTGAAACTGATGAAAGAGGCGTTGAGAAACATGTCTTTACAGTTCGACTGAGTGACAGCTGCCGACAAGAAGTTAGAGAAAAGAAGAGAAATTTTTTGAATGATTTGAGAAGGCTGAGCGACGGGGAAATTGAAAACATCAATCTTTCTCTAGATTTGCATGTCCTTGAAAAGACTGAAGGAGGAAGGGAGGTGGAAAATAAATGGCTTGTGTACCACCAGGTTGATGCTCTAAATTCAACTCTCAAAAAATTGTCCCTAGAGTTAGGTCTCCTACCTTGGGTGGCCTGTGCCACACCAGTGAATGCAGTCACACTTCAAGCGCTCTCGTCAAGAACTGGAAGAATCTTCTGCTTCTTACCACTTCCACCAGACGCTGACTCCAAGACCGGTTTGCCAGTTCACGTGCATGGCTACTTTGGCCTCACAGATAATCGGCGTGGTCTTAAATGGCCAGGCCTTGACTGTCAGGACGACTCAACCGCAGAATGGAATGTGTCGCTGGTGCAGCATGTTGCGAGTGAGGCCTACGCCAACGTGTTGCTCCTTCTTAGAGATTCATGTGATTCTTCAGATGGAACAGATTTGGTGTACAAGTCATGGCCAAACATTCGGGAAGTTGAAAACCACTGGCAGTGTATGCTAGAGCACATGTTTTCGATTTTATTAAAAGAAAACATCCTCTGGACCCCTGCAAATCATGGTCAGTGGAGAAACCTTAGTGACGCCTACCTTGACAGAATGACAACCCAATTTCAGAATACATCTGATGAAACAAGACGCGTAGTTCTAGACACATTGACGCAAGCAAATGAGGCCGTTGTAATCGTCCCGAGCCACGTCATGACTGCGATTGATAAATACAGGTCAGTACCTACGAAGAGCATCACTCCCGCATTCTTGAGAGCTCTGCTGAAAAAGAAGGAAAAGGGAGTTTGGAAGATAAGCAATGTACTGAAGGAGAAGAAGCTTTTACTACTCGAATTTGCTCTCGCGGACAAGAACCTGGACGACATGCGAGGAGTTCCCCTTTTGCCCCTCGCAGATGGAAGTTTTGTTGATTTCCGCTCAATCCAGTACAACCGAGAACCAGCCGCTGCTGTGTACGTTTCGTCAACGAGCAATCCCCGTTCCATTTTCCACAACATGGACAATAAGTTCCTCGACGACAGCGTTCAAACATCTGCCGTTACATATTTGTCGAAGGTTGCCACTGATGCTAATAACTCACATACAATCGAACCGGTGCAACTCGTTAAGTTAAACCAAACCATTGCTGCCAAGGTTCTGCGAGAGATGCTTCCATCAGAGTGGTCTGGGGGAAATCATTCAGTACCTTGGTATCCAGGAAAAAATGGGCATCCACCAGAGCACTGGTTGGAGTCAGTATGGGTGTGGATTCAGAGAATGTTACCCACTGATCTCTCATTGCTCGAAAACCTCCCGCTCATTCCACACACATGTGCTGGAAACCGAAGCATAGTGAAGCTGAGTTCATCAAGCGTAGTTATCAGAAGACATTACCAGAGTATCTCTTTACCGCCGCTTATTGTGTCTTTGCTTGGAAAAATTGGCTGCATTGTTCTAGAAAATCTTCCATCGTACATTCATCACAACACCCTAAATAGATACGTTCTCACACCTGATCCCCATGGCGTCCTAAAGATCTTTTGCACGTTGGGTCAAAGCGGGTGCATACCAGCGATTACACATTGTTCCCCAGATGAGAAGCGAGCGCTACGAAGTTTCGTCTCTTCTGCGTCCTTAAGTGGTGATCAAAGAAACCTCCTGTATGACCTTCCTATTTTTGATGCAGCAGATGGATACTCCTTCATTGCTGTCAGAAATGGATTTCAATTTCATGGAGTGTCACCCTATGACTTCAAACTTCCTCAATCCTTGCCAATACCAAGAGCGTCCTCGATCATTGCCTTAAGAGATAGCCAATCTCATACCCTAATTCACAGACTTGGAATCTCACCGATGACAAAAACAACCTTTCTAAGGGACATTGTATTCAGTGGCATACAGAACAATTTCTATAATCACCAACAGATCTCTACGCTGATGTGCTGGGTACTTAGCCAGTATTCCCTTTTTTGCGGGGAAGACAGCTCATTTCATTCATCTCTTCAACAACTGCCCTTTGTACTCACCATGAGTAATAAGTTAGTTACTCCATGTTGCGTTCTAGATCCACAACAACCCATTTTGAAGCAACTGTTTGAGAGCGAATACGACAAATTTCCAAATGGAAGTTTCGTCAAAGAAGAAACCCTTCTACGTCTTCGACAACTTGGAATGAGGAGTATTCCAAATAAAGAGGACATTCTACATGTTGCTAAAACAGTTGATAAGATTCACAGCGATGTGGGATCCCGTAAAGCATCAGCCTTATTAGAGTTCCTTGACGGAAACCCACCTGACAAGTCCTTGGGCCAAACTCTGATGAACGAGAGATGGGTCCCAAGAAAACAGAGTCGTCCCTCCTCTTATCCTGGTGCGATGCCTTGGTTTTCAGGAACAACGCATTTATACAAACCATCTGAAACGTTCAGCGAATCGAAAGCTACTCTTGTAGGAGCTTCAGCACCAATAGTATCCAAACCTTGTTCCAAAGCATTAGAGGCTGTTTTTGGTTGGGACAAATCGCCACCTGTGCACCACCTTTTAAACCAGTTGCGTTCTGCTTGTTTGGTACGATTGAATGACATGAACAGGAGTGCTCTGTATCATTTCCAAGTGATGTTAAGGCAGATCTACGAAGAAGGATCCAGCAATGCTAGCCTCATCGACGCTGTAAACCAGGATAACAGTTTTCCTGAGTGGATTTGGCATGGAAATGGGTTTTCATCACCGTCAAAGACAGCATTTACATCTTGCTGCAGAATCGACTTGAGGCCTTACCTTTACATAGTTCCAAAAGAATTTAAAATCCTTTACCCTTTCTTCCAGCGATGCGGTGTTCGTGAAAAATTTCAAGATTCCGACTTGTTGCGTATCCTGACAATGATAAAAGACAAACATAACACCAGCAGTGACTATCTAAAAGATGTGGCAGATGATCGAAAGCTGTCACATGATATTCTCCACTGGATAGTTAGAGATGGAAAGAAACTCAATCCAGACCTTCGAGAAAGTCTACTGGTGCCGATTCACACCTGGGATAATACCTTGAAGTTGGTTCCATGTTCGGAGTGCACTTTTTGTGACGCGGAGTGGCTTAGAAAAGGAGGAACAGAACTTCTAATCACAAGCGAATTTCCGATGATCCACAAGGCCATATCTCCCGAAACCGCTACTCTGCTTGGTGTTCCACCAATCAGCACCCGTGTCACTTGTGCAGAGGCTGTAGGTATCGAGCAAACAGGTCCCCACGAGCCAATTACCACGAGGCTAAAGAATATTCTAAACGAGTACAAAGAAGGGGTTGGTGTTTTCAAGGAATTAGTGCAGAATGCAGATGATGCTGGTGCAACAGAAGTTCAGTTCGTTCTTGACTGGCGCAATCATCCAAACCAGAGGCTTTTGTCACCGGGAATGGTAGAATGCCAAGGTCCCGCCCTGTTGGCATACAACAATGCAACCTTTACAAATGATGATCTGAAGAATATATCGAGACTGGCAGGTGCCACGAAAAAGGAAGATCTTGAGAAGATTGGTCGCTTTGGTCTTGGTTTCAGTTCCGTTTACCACTTTACTGATGTTCCAAGTTTCATTACCAGAAGTTATGCTGTCTTTTTTGATCCAGAAACAACACATCTTGGCTCCCACATAAGCGATGCTTCGAAGCCTGGAATAAAGATAGATCTGGCGGTAAATGAGAACAGTTTAACCTGTTTTCCTGACCAGTTTGCACCCTTCAATGGACTTTTTGGCTGTGACACTACTCCATACAGCGATCATGACAAGTTCTACTTTCAAGGGACTCTCTTCAGATTTGCATTCCGAACTAAGCGAGGCGAAATCAGTGATAAGATCTACAATAAGAAGGAAATACGGTCCCTTATGTTTTCTTTCCGAGAATCATCACCAACCCTTCTTTTGTTTTCACAGAATGTTAAAAAGGTGTCCTTCCTTGAAGTGGATGAAAATGCAACTGATACTAAAGACTCACGACTCCTGTTTGAAATCTGCAGAAAAAGTCAGTCAGAATGTACACCAGTCAAGAATTCTGTAACGGAAAGTACCTTTCTGAAGTCATGCGCAGCATGGACGAGACAGTCCACTAGTCAGTCCGAGCCTTTTGCCAGGTATCCATCTCCCAAACTAACGGAGCTCATATCGGTGTGTTTCACCATCTGTCGAAAGAATGAAAAGAGGTGTCAAGAAACCCAGTCTTGGCTTGTGACCTCTTGTCTTGGTACTGGAAATTCCTTTAAGCTTGCAACAAGCGAGGAGGGCAAGAAGGAGGGACTCTTATCTGCCTCAGGAGTGGCAGCAAAGATTTGCACCAAAGGCGATGGCTCTCAAAAAGTAGAGGCAGTACCTGGAGAAATGTTTTGTTTCCTTCCCCTTAGTATTCAAACAGGTCTTCCAGTACATGCCAATGGCTACTTTGCAGTCACATCAAACCGCCGAGGAATCTGGGAAGGTACTACAGCCGATATCGGCCGTCAACCTTTAGAAGTGCGGTGGAACCAAAGCCTCATGGAGGATGCGTTGACTCAGGCCTATGTTCAGCTCTTGGAAAATATGATTGTCATGCAAACACAAGGAAAAATCCCGTCGTATGATGTTTTCACGCTCTGGCCAAATCCAGACAAACTTCAATCATCCGCATGGGAACCACTCATCAAGAGCTTTTATCGAAGAATTGCAAGTCATGACTTACCCTTAGTGCGCACAGCAGGGAAATGGCTCCCAGTAACTCAATGCATTTACCAAGACCTCAAGTTACGGGAGCTTCCAAATAGTAAGATCGTCCTTGAAAAGTTTGATTACAAAATAGCACAACTTCCAGACTTTGTCAAGAAAGGATTTCAACAAGCTGGATGTATGGAAGTTATCGACCAACGTACAATGACACAAGAAAAGTTTCTCCGAGATGTTTTTTTCCCGAATATCACGGCAATACCCGAAGAGCTTCGGAATCCCATTGTGTGCTACCTCATAGATGAATGCCTTCGACGACATGCTAGCAATTGGTCCAAGCAGCTACTCGATCTATGCGAATTTTTGCTTTCAACTAATCGCTGTATTCCTTGTGGGTCAGATACGGGGCATTTGGCTTTTCCCAAGGAGCTGATATCCCCGAAAAGTGCCGCTGCGACTCTGTTCTCAGCAGACGATAGGAGATTTCCATTTGGTTCATGTTATCAAACTGAGGAACGTCTTCTCGTGCTTCAAAACCTGGGAATGTTATCAGATATTCTTGACTGGGAAACCCTGATTGAGCGAGCAAACTCTGTGTCGGTGCTCTGTAGAAGAGCCAAACAAGATGGTAGGAAGAGATCTGCCCTTCTCATCAAGTATATTAATGTCTACCTTGAGAAAATGGACCCCCCTTCAGAATTGAATAGAGAGGAGTTAATGGCAATCAGTATGTTTCCTACTCTTGCAAAGCCACCAAACTATGTTATGCCATGGAAAGGTACTGCTGATTGGAACAGTGATATCCTTCCAGCGAAAGAAATGTACGACACCAGGTATAAGTTTGTCGCAGGGTCCTCACGACCAATCCTTGATGAAAGTGAGAGTGGCTGCAGTAGGTTAAGCGAGAGAGCGCGGCATCTTTTTGGTTTCAACTCTCGTAAACCATCGGCCCATGAGGTTCTTAGCCAGTTGGAGCATGCAGTTCAGGCAATATTCCACTCGCCCCATGCGGTCGAAAGTTTGGAAAAAGTCTTCCATTGCATATACGATTATTTACAAGAACTTGTTCTGGAACCAGACGGCGAGCGAATTATACATGCATTGCAAGAAAAGAAATGGATACTGGTTCAAGGAAAGTGTCTGCCGGCCTCTCGGCTGGCTTTCGCGTGGAGGCGATTTGGTGAGCCTTATCTGAACGAAGTGCCACAAAATCTTGCGTCGAAATATCGTAGCTTATTTCAAGCAACAGGCATCAAAGAGCACTTTTCCACCAAGGAGATAATTTCTGCTCTTTATGAGCTCAATGAGGAGAAACAAGGAGAGCGTCTATCTACGAAAGAGTTTAAAGTTTCAAAATCTTTGATTGATGAAATATCGGAAGCCTCAGAGGAATCCTTAGTCACGGAAAGAGGGAAGATTCCTCTGCCAGACCATAATCTGATTTTGCAGCCCGCTGAGAAATTAGCCATTAATGATGCACCATGGGTGGCTGCTAGAAGTGACATCGACTATGTTCACAAGGACTTGTCAATTGACCTTGCACACAGGCTTGGAGCAATTGATATTCGAACAAAGAAACTATCCAGAATATCTCGTCCAATCGGACAAAAATTTGGACAGCGAGAGGAGCTTACTGACCGCTTAAAGGGCATTTTGAAAGCATATCCATGCGATGTTGGAGTCCTTAAGGAACTTGTTCAGAATGCTGATGATGCAGGGGCCACTGAGGTGCATTTAATTTTTGACCCTCGCTACCACAACACTGACCAACTCCTAAGTGACAACTGGAAGGAACTGCAAGGTCCTGCCCTGTGTGTTTACAACAACCGACCCTTTTCCAAAAATGATTTAGAGGGGATACAAAGACTGGGAATTGGTAGCAAAGTAAACGATCCTACTAGGACAGGACAGTATGGTATTGGCTTCAACGCCGTATACCACTTAACGGACTGTCCAAGCTTCATTTCGAATGGAGACACGCTCTGCATTCTCGACCCTCATTATCGTTACGCTCCCGGAGCAGACAAGGAGAATCCTGGACGTCTCATCGAACCAATAGGTGAAGAGGAACGATCCGATTTCAGGGATGTATTTCCTTGTTATCTGGAAGACATGTTTGATTTAAAATCCTCAACTATGTTTCGCTTTCCTCTTAGACTCCAAAGTACGTGCACAGAGTCATTGATATCTGAACAACGAATCTCCTCCACAGAAATGAACCAATTTATGAACCAATTAGCCTCTGAAGCAAGAGAGATTATCCTTTTTTTGAACCATGTCAAGAAAATATCACTGTCTGAAATTAAAGACGATCGGCTGAAAGAAATACACTCAGTTTCTGTTCAGCTAACAGCCGATGATAATGCGAAACGCCTGAAGCTAACGAATCATATCAAGAATTGTAGGTTCCTAAATACAAATGAAATTCAATGGTTTGGAATCACATACCCTCTTTTTGTTCACGAGGGTAGAGTACGACAGGAACAATGGCTTGTCCATCAGTGCATTGGAATCCAGAAACGAGGTGGTGACAAGATTCCTAACGGTCGAGATTATGGTCTCCTACCTCGCGGAGGAATAGCGGCTAAGGTGTCGGAAAAGTCAAAACTCCATTCCCACATAGGAAGTGAACCAACCTTCAAGGCTTTCTGCTTCTTGCCATTACCAGAACACACAGGGCTCCCAGTTCATGTAAATGGGCATTTCTTTTTAGATTCCGCCCGTCGAAATCTTTGGAACGATGAAAAGGGAGAAGGATTTGGAAACCAATGGAATCATTTCATAATGAGCAAAGTTTTGGCCCAAGCGTATATCTCGTTGATGTTGGAGGCACGTGGTCACCTGCCTGGCTCCAAAAGGGGGGAAACCACCAGCTTTTCTAAAGAATTCAAGGTTCACAATGGAATGCGATGGTATCATAATCTTTTTCCTCATTTTGATACTGTCCAAAGCCGGTGGCGAGTTCTAGCAGAAGCTTTTTTCCACAACATTTGCAAAGAAGATGCAGAGTTGTTGCCGCTGACGACGAGACTTTTCGGTAAAAATTCGCCAACTTCCCAAAGTGCTAAGGCTACACAAAGCATTCAACCCCTTGATAATGCTCAGGTCGCCAAAAATGATTTTATTGACCGTGAAGAACCCATAAGGTGTTTTTGGCTGTCTCCTTCACAGGGGTATTTCAACACTTTGTCCTTTACTGATGAATCAGCAAAAGATCTTTCAAAAGTTCTCTTCAACATTGACTTCAAACTTTTTTACTCTCCCTTCAAACTCTTCAACGACTTCAAAACAGCAGGAACAGATGTTAGAGAGATCACTCCAGAAGGAGTTATTAAGTTTCTTGAAAAGAACCCAAACTCCGTAGGTATACTACCCTGCCCTGTAAGTGAGACGACAGTTGGTTCTGTGGTTAATGTAGTCCTCCTCCTTAATTATTGCATGGAGACCCCTACCTTTTTAAATCAAATATTTGGAATCCCTTTATTGCTGACTGAAGATGGTGTCCTTAGGCGATTTCAGATGGATAAGCAAGTATTTCTGAGCCGCTTTGCAGATTTGGTACCAAATCAACGCTCTGAGTTTATTCACCACATACTCGCCGCACCGTTACTTCACTTCGAAAAAGAAATCTTTCAGGCGGATCAAGGGGTTCTCAAAAGATTCGATATCTGTGCATTAGCCTCGCTCCTTCCGAGTATTGCAAAAGGCAAGTGGCGTGAAACCAACAGTCTCATTCCATGGGATTGGAAAGACGGGCCTACCGAACCATGGTTAAAGCGTCTATGGGAGTTTTTGTTCAAGGCACACAAAAAGGACCCAGATACTTTTTCCCTAGATCCACTGCATAAATGGCCCATTCTTCCAACCAAATCGAAGGAATTAGCCCCACTTTCAAAAGGTAAGGTCATTCTTGACTTGACAGCCTCCGAGGCCTGGTCGGTTGGCCAAAAGACTGTAGTCGAATTGTTGAGGAAGCTGCGATGCCCGGAGTTGGATGTCGAGCTCATCGGCAGTGGTAATAGATGGGATCTATCGCCAGTGCTCAAACAGCACCTATCGTACCCCAACTCGTCGCAAGACATTCTAGAGGTGCTAGACCACTTGATGAGGACAGAAGATATTTCTGGTTATCTTTCTGACGATGAAATGATTTCATTGCTTCAGTTTTTTCAACATGATGCAGCCTCTCTGAAACAAGACCGATCATTGACTTCCATTTTGAAGCGATTGCCATTTTTCAAGACTTTTATGGGAACGTTTGTTTCTCTTGAAAATGCTAAATCAGTATATACCATCCCGAAGGGTTTACCAACTGACGAGTGCGATGTTTGGATGCGAGGAATCAATTGCCTTTTCTTAGCACCTGAACCATTGCTGGACCACCTGTACAATAGAGTTCTAAATGTTGTTTCCAGAACTCACGCAGATTGCTACATCAACTTCATTTTCCCCAAATTTCCATCTCTTAAGGAGCAAACTCGTATGCTTCATCTTAACTACGTTAAACGATTCTTGTTGGCACCCTTTTCCGATGAAGATCAACACACTAGAGTCCTACAATCACTTAGAACTTTGGAATTTATTCCTGACACCAATGGGTCTCTACGAACTGCATCTTATTTTCATGATCCACGCGAGAAAGTTTTTGCAGTTATGTTACCACGTGATGCAAAGCCACCGGAACCTTTTAATGAGAAATCCGGTTGGCTAGATCTCCTTTGTGAAGTTGGATTAAAGAAACAAGTTAGCAGAGATCAGTTTCTAGAGTTTTCAAAGGAAGTTGCAAAACATGCAGAGAACATGAGCAAGAAAACTCGTAGTACTTTGGAGGAAAAGTCTCAAACTCTCGTTACCCATCTTCTGAATGAAAAATCCTTTCATGAAGCGGAATTTTTACGACAACTCTCTATGATAAAGTTTGTAGCATCGTCAAAGGCCAGTGATAACCTTCTTTCTCTTTACAAGCAGTACCCATGCGCTAAACAAGTGCAAGATGGGACACTTCCATTCATTCATTTCCACGGTTCAATATCAAAGATGAATGAGCGACTTGCCTGGACAACTGCGCCTCTTCTACCAGATTGGGTTGTTTCAGATTCTGGAAAGGAAATGCTTGGAGCCCTTGGAGTTTTCCCATATCCATCGCTGGATCAAGTCATCAATCACGTCACCATACTCTCACAAAATGTTCCCAAGGACATTGATGGAGAAATACCGCAACCAAAGCGTCGCCTTCTGGGTGATATCATGACTGAGGTGTATACGTTCCTTCAACGTATGAGCAGGTGCCAGGAAAGCGACTCTCTCAACTCCTGCTCTCTAAAGTGCCATGAAATTGGGAAGCGTTTGTCTGACAAGTCATGTGTCTTGGTTGAAGATGGCCGCGTATTTGTCCGTGGTGACCAACTTGCCTTCCACCTTGATAAGCAGTTGGCACCGTATCTATATAAAGTTCCGCTGGAATATGGATCTTTTCAGCACTTGCTACTCCGACTTGGAGCCGTAGAGGAAGCCACACCAGAACAGTTCGCCAAACTACTCAGTAACCTGAACGCCTCATGTTCAGACGAGAAAATGCATCCCAATGAATCCAGTATTGCAAAACACGCTGTTTACGGCCTGTTTACGACTCTAAAGGCCCTACAAGGCGACAACAATGAAGGTGAGCCAGCTAATAATTCTCTCTCTAACATCGAACGTCTGTACCTTCCAAGCCGCAAACAAAAGCTCGAAAGATCTGTAGACTTGGTCCTGTTTGATTCTCCTGGGTATATATCCCGTATACCAATTGCCATGTATAAGCACCTAGATCTATTAAAAGAGTACAACCTGACGTTCGCTACTCCTCGGCAAATTGTCGACCTTCTGCCAGCTCACTTGACGATCCCATCCATAACAGCACTTGTTAGGGAAGAGCTGCACTCAGAATGCAGAGAAAAGAAGTGCCGTGCTGATGTGGAAAAGAAATGTCACGAGACCAATCGTCTCCGTCACATATTGTTTTCCCCCAAGTTTGTGGATGGTATGATACGAATTTTAAAAAATCAATATCAGAAAGCCAAACTGAATGATGAAGTCCGAGGAAAAGTACGCAGATTTCAAAACGAACTAAAAATAAGTTGCATGGAAATGCTGTCCACTGAGCTCGTGGAAAACAAATCAAATACATCAATTCCAGGCAGCCAAAGATCAAAGAAAATAGACTGTTTTGTGGAGAGAGATGAAAGTGGCAGAAAGCATATATTCATCAAACATGGTGTTGATCCCAGAAACGTACGCAGGATTCTCTGCAAAGAGATAAATCAATTGACAGGATGCTACATCGACAAAGTTAGCTGGTTGCATCTGGCTGACATTTTAGAGTGTGAGTCGCCTGAAGACATTTCTTCCACATTGGACAAGGCTAGAGTCTCCGAAGATGTGGATACTACTGATACGCCAAACCGAGAGCCTGACCTTGGAACAGACGTGCGTGAAGAGTTTCATTACCTTCAAGAGCAGTACGGTGACTTCTACTTTCGAAAAGGAGAATTTGTTGCATTTGAAAAAGATGACTCAACAGATGAGGAACCGAGGTACATCTATGCAAAAATTGTGAACAAGGTTACAACTAAAATAAAACCCAAAAAGGACAGAACGAAAAGAAAGCAAAAAGACGAGAGTAAGCTGCTCGACAGATATCTTATTGACATAGGCCATGTAAAGAAAGAAGTCGATGTACTGGATCTGTACAAGATAAGGAGACCACAAACATTTCTGGAAAAAGATGAAAAACCAGAAGGAGAATGTTTTTCAGAAACAATGGAACTCGTACCTCACGAGGGAACATATCGACAGAGTGCAGAACCAGAGGGGGCGGAATGCTCAACGACACCACAAAGTAAAGACGACTGTGGTGAGCTACCTAAGCCTAGGACGTTGGACGCCGCCAGAAAAGAAGTTCGAAAGAAACTTTCCGAAATTTGGAAGCTTCCAGAAGATACACGAAAGAAAGCAATAAGGCGACTATACCTTCGATGGCATGCGGACAAGAATATGGACATGCAAGACATTACAAACGAAGTCATGAAGTATATACAAACTGAGGTCGAAAGGTTATCGAAAGGAAAGTCGTCAAGCCGCGATGAAGGTTGTGCAAGACCACCGCCACCAGATTTTTCGGACTTATTCAAGCTGTGGGATGTAATAGCTCGACGACAGCGCTCAAGCTTTGAAAACTATCGCCGCCACAACCCACGATTTACAGGTTTCGCATCACACTCGAGAAGGACTTACACGGCATCTAATCTACGCGTAGCGAAGATGTGGATTCGTCAAAGCAAAGAAGACCTGCGGTCCGTAAAACTTCTCTTGACTGCCCGAGATCCACTTTACTACCTTGTCTGCTTCCAGTGTCATCAAATCGCGGAGAAATCTCTCAAAGCAACTCTTTACGCTCTATCAGGGATCGCAGATAGGCAGCTGAAATATAACGATTTGGTACTATTGGCACATGATCTTTCACGGCTTCCTAGAGCTCCAGATGTGACACCGCAAGTAGCCAGGCTGTCTGACTATTACGAGGGCACTCGATATCCTAACAAGCACGTGCCACCTAAAGTGCCTGCTGAGGTTTTCCAGGATTCTCAGCAAGCACAGGAAGCGTTCAGACTGGCCACAGAAGTTTTGGAAGTACTAGAACAGTTTGTTGGACCATAATTACTGTTAATTACTCACATTTAGCCTCTAGGACTGTATAACCCTCCAGATACTGTTAAAAATGAACTGCTTTACTTTAGGCATCAGAATCTTAAAAATACTTAGAAAAATTTAAGCTAGCTAAATGGAAGGATACTACTAGCACTTCTTTGTCTCATCGTGCGACGTTAAACTTTGCCTGAAGTGGACTAATGTTGCTTAACATGATTCAAATATTCCACTGAAGAGAAATTGGCGTTTTATAGATAAAATTAGTTTGATCGCTAACTTTGCAGCATCCTGTTTGTTTTGTGTTTTAAATTTTTACCAGTAACATTTTACTGTAGTGACAAGGCTCTCTTCACAAAGGGGTTCATAAGGTAACGAAAAGTAAGTTTATATCAATTTGAGAGTTTTTACAACTTTCGCTAGTCATCCTTCGTTTTATTCTAACTGGTGGTGTTGCTTACAATAAAGAAAAAATCTTCCACCGCCAACTTAAAGTTGAGTTTCCGTAAAACGAATAGAAACAAAATTACCTCATAAGGCGACCTACACCTTTGAAAGAGTTCTTAATAATTTGTAGTTTGCCGAAGTGATAGGAACACAGTCGTATGTTTTTGCCATGACAGAGAACCATAAGGAATCGTTGCATTTATTTTTTCTCGTCGAGGGAAAATTTTTTCAAATCTAAATTTATTAGAGTTATTTTTAAATATTAACGTTGAATTATTAAGAGCCTAAAAAGTGATTCTTTGTAGTTTAGAGTAATTTATATATAGAATTTTATAAAATTCTAACAATCCGTTTAATAGAAAGAAATAAATCGAGCATTAAGATTTGTTCGCTTGAAAAACTACCTCTTAATATTCTGCTAAGTTATAAGTAGTGTTTCCTCGCCTCGTTATAAACTGGCGAGTATTGAGAGAATTATTCTAAGGCTTTGTTTTCTGGGAATGGCACAGCGGAGAGGGTCTCGTTTAGGTTGAAGCCTAGGTTGTGTCTCCAAAAGCGGATAACTCCTCAAATATTTTTCGCCAAGACTTGCCGCTCACATTCGTTTTTCAGTAAGGGAAAAAAATTCCAACTTCTACCAGGGCAAAATGGAGTAAAACAAATGGAATTCATCAGTGGAAACAACAAGCTTCAATAAGAACGAAAGTGACATCATTTATTTTACGCCATGATGAACAATACTAAAATTAGTCAAAAAAAAATCCTTTCATTCTGATACTCGATTACTAATTTACTGCAAAGGCTTATCAAATGATTTTCGGGTTGCAAAGATAATGCTGGTTGAAAGGAACTGGACTGAGTGGAATACCAAACTAGCAAAAAATCCATCAAGAAATTTGTCTTTTCACCGATGTAGACTTGACTAAAAGTGACAGTTTGGGTCAACAACAAAAGAGAAAATTTGGGCCAAACCTGAGAGCATGGTGTGTTAATTAACACCATTTGGAACACATGAGAAGAACAATGAAGTTCTGAGAACACAATACTTAGACACGACACCAATCTGTGGTAAGAATTTCTTCAGTGCACCATAATAAAAAACAGCACAGAGTAAACTACTTTCACCTGAAAAAACCATTACATTATTTAGGACAACTGCTTTCTCTTCTTATCCAAGGCAAGGTTAGTCTACACACCCTGGAAAGTTATTAACTTTCCAAGCTACCTGCTGAAGGTCCGACTTGTGGTTGGGTATTCCCTGAAAGCCCTAACACAATATCATGTAGTTTGTGGCAAATCCCTGACCAAACAATACATCCTTGAATATTCCAAGCTTCTTTGCAAAAGTAACACAGCTTCATAAAAATCTATTTTTCCTTGAGAAAATCGACTTCACAAAATTAAACATAACTTAATTCCCTCTGTATTCCCCTCGAGAACGCTGAGGTAACACGACAGACTTAAGCTTACCCTTTAAGGGTGTAGTGTGGGCAAAATTGCCACAGATAGTAACAGGACTCCACTTACACCTATAAGAGAGACAAGAAGGCATCTCTTTCTTTCAACAAAGTGTGCAATAGATTTGCAGGGTTTAAGGGCCCCTCCTTTGGAGCTCACCTGAAAACAATGCCCATCTTAACTCTTTAACTCCCAGACGTGATTCACACAAAACTTCTTCCCATAATATCCATACAGTATCTAGGACACAGATAATGTGAAAACTTATACAGGTAGAAATTGTTTTCTTGACCTATCACCAAATTCTTGAAACTAATTTACAACGGAATGAGTGGAAGCTAGAGGAGAGAATTAACCATGAGATCTTGGGAGTAAAGGGCTTCATGCTGCAGACAAAGTAAACATATCTGGTGTACCTGTTATCTCCAGATAAGCCAAAAGGAACCACCCCTAAACTAGGCTGTGAATGAAGTTAATATGTAATCCAAATCCAAAATCCTACTGAGAACGACACTGTCAAAAATATTGCAATAGATACATATAAAGCTAAGTCTTGAATAAGTTTAACATCTTAGTTCAGTTGTTCTTAATGCATCCTTAGAGACGTAGGGAACTGATTATTTCCTGGATGTCGATCGTCACATGAACAGAGTATTAGCAAAAAGTTATCTGATCATGTGATGACATCCATGAAATAATAAGATCCTAGGTCTCTAAGCCTACATTAATAACAACTGAACTAATGCCTCCCAAGAGGAACAAACGAATGGCTGGACAAAAACCCAACCAGAGAAAATTAAAAGGGTATTTTATTAGTTAACAAAACATGATCACTTGTTCCTTTTGCTTTCTTGGTGGAAAGTGGTGTCTAATAAATATTGTGAAATGAAAGACATTCTCAAAATGTTCATGGATGCACACAGATGTGTTTCTGGAGCTTGCAGAATGGTAGTAAGTTACCAATGCCTACATCTGATCAGTGTAGATGGTTATTGATACATCATCTTTTCAAAAGAGAATATTCTTTATACTCAGTTTGTCTGTGTATTTGCTTCTTCCCCAGTCAACACAGTGGTACTATAAATTTCAACTTAGAATACATAATTTTTCTTTGGAGTCAATAAAAGTATGAATAACAACATTGATTTTAGCTATACTCAAAGTAAGGCACACCTCACAAGGCAAATTGATCAAATTAAGTTAAAAATAATTAATTTTTGACAAAAATTTATAGAAAGTGATTTCAATCTAATCTACAGAAAGACCTTTCTCTTACACCTGCTTGTCATATGGAAATATAAGGTTAGGAGTGAAAGTATTTGTGAAAATGGAAAGTCTGCATTTAAGAGGTTGACTGTGCAGGGTTAATCAGAGTTTGTGTGCCAAACATACTTCAACCTGATGAAATTAGAAGATCCTCGCAGCTAAGAACACTACTGAAACTAGTAGTTGTAAGTAGGACCTGAAAAAAATTTCAGGCCCGTACGGGATTTGAACCCATGACCTCTGCGATACCGGTGCAGCGCTCTACCAATTGAGCTAACAAGCCAACTGGGAGCTGGTCAATGAATTGGGTACAAATAAACATCCGAGTGAATGAAGATTTTAGATATATGAAAATTCACATATTTGCACTGCGGTGGAAAGATGAAATTAGAAGATCCTCGCAGCTAAGAACACTACTGAAACTAGTAGTTGTAAGTAGGACCTGAAAAAATTTCAGGCCCGTACGGGATTTGAACCCATGACCTCTGCGATACCGGTGCAGCGCTCTACCAATTGAGCTAACAAGCCAACTGGGAGCTGCCATCGCAGTGCAATTATAGTGAAATTTTCATATATCTAAAATCTTCATTCACTCGGATGTTTATTTGTACCCAATTCATTGACCAGCTCCCAGTTGGCTTGTTAGCTCAATTGGTAGAGCGCTGCACCGGTATCGCAGAGGTCATGGGTTCAAATCCCGTACGGGCCTGAAATTTTTTTCAGGTCCTACTTACAACTACTAGTTTCAGTAGTGTTCTTAGCTGCGAGGATCTTCTAATTTCATCTTTCCACCGCAGTGCAAATATGTGAATTTTCATATATCTAAAATCTTCATACTTCAACCTGATGACAAAGAGAATAAATTTTTGTGCAAGTTTTTGTAGTGGTCAATAATGGCATAGGATGGCAGTTTTTTTGTCTTTGTTTTTGTTTTTTTGGAACCATATCCCTATTCTGGGGAACCTGTATTAAGTGGTCAACTTGTATTAAGCAGGAATTTTCTCTATTCTAAGACAATGGAGCTTCTTCCCAACAGCACAAAGGCATCCTCAGTTTCTTTTTTTTACCTCTGCATCTTCCAACTGGTATTTTTGAGATCACAAACTTTCAACTATTTTGTCTCCTTGACAAGAGCTTTTGCAAATGCTGGCAGATTTCTGTAATTTCTCAGCAGCTCACTGTTGAAATAATTCACACACAGAGATTAGCTTCAGGTGCTTTGTGTACCTTAAAATGTGCATGGGGCATGTACTTTATCATCATTATTATCATTACTATTGCTATTACTGTTATTGTAACTGTGAAGAAATCTCAATAAAGGATGCATGTTGCAGAGGCCATATGCACCATTTTTGCACACAGTAAAGCCCATAACCACAGTCTAATACTCATGCTTTTTGAAAATTTGATAAACCTACTCATAGAAAGGAGTGTACATGATAATAGCAGGTTGGGAATGTGGGGTACAAACACTCTTTAATAACTTTGGAAATCTGAAAAAAAAGCATATCTATGTACCAAGTATACTTGCAGAAATAAGCTGGTGTGACTGATCTCACTTGTCTTCTTCCAGCATGCAAGAAATGCCCAAGCTACAAACCTCTATGCAGTTCATGCTTATTACAGACACTCTTTGTTTTGTGTGTCTTATTCATGGCCAAAGAGATTGTTTCATTTTCACTCTTAAGGGTCAAAAGACAGAAAAAGCATTATGTTCAAAACTGATCATGGATGAAGAAAGAATCTAAATGATAAAGAAATTTTGCTGTTTTAAATTGATTTAAGAAACTTTTCCCTGTTCTTCCCAACCCCTAAAATAAGAAATTATTGGTTAAATCACCCCTGCCCCCATGCCCCTTTATTCCTTTTGTGCTCAAAATATCTTTATCTTCTCCTTCAATGTTGACTTCAAGAACAAGAACGCTATGCTCTATCAAAACCATTAGCTACTTAGGAGAGGTTGAAAAATACAGTGTAGTTAAACTGTACAGTAACTTATTCCAAGCTTTACTGAGTAAGTACTCACCATTTTTTGGTGCATTGGGTTTCACACTTAATTAAAAGTTCCTTCTGTTCTTCATGGCTCATTTCTATCCCAGGTGTCTTGTCTAACAATGCTCTGTGGTGTTGCAACTTTGCACGGAAACCATTAACCTACAACAACATTTAGAACAAGGCACTTTTGACATGAAGCATGATTGGGCAACTTTTTTCTCGTGAATCATGATTTGGTTTACAATTAAAGATCTTTTAATGTCCACATGAATAAAGTTAAAGTGACCTGTCAATTAACAGCTGAATTAAACATGGTTTGTAAACCATTCTTTTTAGCGTGATGAATTTCTGGTTATTTCATTGTTTGGAAATGTACATATTGTTCTTGAACAGCCATGGTTAGGTTTTGACCAGGGATTTGACAGGATATGTAGGGGTCGAAAAAAGGCGTAAACTAGACCATTCATGGTTCTTGAAAAAAAAAGATAAGACATTACATCATCTTTTGTTGCATCAGAAAGGTGAAAACCTACATACAATTTTCTATTTCCAATAATTTT